GAAGTTTGATGTAAGCAATGTTTCACAAAATGGTCAAGCGTGTTATTATCAAAGTTTCATCACCATCCTCCAATCGAATTGATGTATGCATAAGATATAGCTAGATACTCGGATGTTTTGGCTAATATCAAAAAGGTGAGAGCAGCTCTAAAATCTTGATTTTGTACAGCTTACCTAACAATACATTGTAAAAGGTAGCAATTACAACTGCACCACGTTACTACTCAGTATACAACAACTATAAGGCAACAACTCCAGGACAAGTTCGTGAACTTCGCATACTTTATTTTTTGTAACCTTAGAAAGGTTTTAAATATCAGATATCGGGGAAATATTGGATAGCTAAAATTCATATTGGAATGTAGATGTCGGGAAAATATTGGGGAGATGTAGTAAATACTGGTATGTCATAACGAATGTTTGCATATATAATATAATGCATAAAAATGTAATCTCATTGTACTTAATGAAGTCTAAGCATACAAAGTGTTAATAATATATGTCTAGGATCAATAATCAACCTTGCAAAACAAACAAGAGCACAAATCAATGTTGTGACATCCCACCGACCCAAAGTTATAGTCCCACGTCAGTGAGGGAATAAGATATTTAAAGGTTTATATAGTGAAGCTAAAGACTCAAGTGTAACATCGGCTAGTCGATTTTGGCAGTGGTTTGAGCCAAATAGAACGTTACACTCGGTGGGTCCCACTGCTCGCACGCGCCAACGGGCCCGTGGGCCCGGGGCGTGACAAATGTCGCAACATTCCGTGTGACTTTTTAAGGCCAAATGTCATTTGATATAGCGAGAAAATCATGTTATCTTGCCTAAAATTGCCAAACACGATATATTGTTTTGCGACAAGCCATATAATATAATAGGATATATCAGCCAATATATCAACTGATATATTGGCCATATCGATGATATATCACCTAAGATATCCAAAAAGCGGTATACGACATTTAAAGATCATATCGGTTGCGGCAAGCCCTGCAAAATGATATATTGGACCATGTCGGGGATATTTAAAACAAAGTACCTTAGTTACCTGATCAAAGCTAAATGGCTTTTTTTTTCCCCTCCTTAACCAGCACCAACTTGCCTAGGGTTGATAATCTTTTCCAAGACTACTTTTCCAACATTTTCTCGCAACAAAAATTTTAGATTGTAGGAACTAAAATGAGTTAATCTAATCTAGAATCATGTTTGAATCATTATCCCAACTATATCAACTACATATTTATACGTTTTTCAAGATGATGAGATGAATCCCTTTCACAAATTTGCTTAGAACAAACTCACAAGCAGACAAACAATCATGGTAAATTAATCAGCAAAGTTGACGTACCATTTTATGAGCAAGAAAGAAAGAGCAAGACATCAAACTGGGGTGCCAAACTAGAAGAAGAAATACGCACTAAAAAAACCAAGTTCGTTACCTTACCATTCTGCATTTAGAGTCTTCGCAATCCTCATCTTTTGTATCGCTCAGATACATATACTATATATATATATACTATACTATATACATAATATATATATATATATTATATAGTCTATTAAGATAGCCAGCATTAAGCCCGCCCCCCCACCCTTCCTACTTTTTACGGGAAGAAATTATCGTATAACTATCAATGATGTTAAAATTCAGGGTTCTGGTCAAGTTGGACGTTAGCTTCAAGCTTAAAATTAGATATATAATTTGAAGTTTTGAACTATATCAAAACCTGACACGTTAATAATATGCCATTATGGTTTGAACTACGGAAACTGTAACCCCTCTTTAGCGCACAATACTACATTATTTTTGCAGGGTTATGGTTATTCTTCAGGTGTATGGCAGTTTGAAGAGAATGCAAATGTTAGCCCATGAATATCATGATTCTTGATGAAAGAAAATTTAATTGTCATTGGGATTAAAACTAAAAAAATAGACTAAATCATGCCCATGGACATCGCGTAAATTGAAATTTGCACGTTTAACTGCCAAATGGTTGAAACAAATAAAATGGACAAAAATCATGGACTTTAGCCCATGAAAATCACATTGATGTATGCATATTAATTTTCCATTAGGTCGAAGCACAGAAATTGACAAAAAAATTATGGGTTAAAGCCCATGAAAGCTGCAATTCCTGATGAAAGAAAACTTATTTGTCGTTGGATCAAAACCCATGAAAATCATGATTTTCAGAAAAAAAAAGAAAAGTTTTTTATGCAATTGGGTTGAAACGAATAAAATGGATAAAGATCATGGATTATAGCTAGGGGTGCCAAACCGTATCCGTATCCGAGGAAATATCCGTAACCGTATCCGTTAGGATACGAATATGGTTACTCAAATCTATTACCGATAGGATATGGTTGCGGATATGGTTTTGTAGTGAAATATCCGTATCTGTATCCGAAAAAATCCGAATACATATTGGTAATACTCTTACGATAGTTTCAATTCTTAGATTATGGATTTGTGGTTAATTTTGATGATCAAGATGTCTAATCTTAGCTTTTCAATCATAATGAACATATTAACGAACTCTTTTTGTATCACATGACTATATTTTTCTGAATACTATCTAGTTTTCTCATATACTTTTTGTATCCGCATGCATATCCGTTTATATATCCGCATCTATATCCGTAACCGTATCCGATTTTGGCGGATATGAATATGAATTTTTCTTACCGACGTATATCCGTATCTGTATCCGTATCCGAGATGGGTAAGCGGATATGGATATGGTAAGTGCCATATCCGAGCCGTATCCGCTCCGTTAACACCCCTAATTATAGCCCATTAAAATCATAAATTTTGAAGTACGCATATTAATTTTACATTAGGTCGAAGAATGAAAATTTACAAAATCCTTGGATTATAGCCTATGAAAATCGTGATTTTTTATGAAAGAAAATTTAATTGTCATTGGGTCGCAACTGACGAAAATAAATTAAATCATGGCTAAATTGCTTTGAAACAGGTATGGGTATGGATACAGGTACAGATATAGGACGAGTCAAATTTGTGAAGTATAAATACATACATACATACATACATATCGAAATAAATAATTTACATGAGACCATTATTATTTTTCAGTTAATGTGCTATTTGAATTTAAATTCTTATCATCTTTTTAAGTTTATTTTATTATGTTGATTATCATAATTTGGAAACTGCTCGTTTTTTAAACTAGACACTCAAAACACCCTTTTAAATCATAGTTCCTAACTTGGTGATGAGTTGAAACAATAGGACCCATGTCTAACAAGTTTCAAGAAATGGTCATGAAGTGTAGGAAATAAGTCCAAGAAGTGTATGACAAGTATTTTAAATTAAAACATATATAATATAATTGAGTACATGTCTGGGTAAATGTATGCATATATCCAAGGAGTATCCATGAAGTTTAGGTAAGGATTAGTGTTGGGTACGTGTCAGGTACGGGTACGTCTTGATGAGAGAAGTACACGAGTGATATAGATGGTGGGTTATATAGCCTATGAAAATCACGAATATTAAAAAATGCACAATTAATTATCAATTGGTGAAAATCACAAATTTTAAAGTACGCACATTAATTTTCTATTAGGCCGAAGAACAAAAATTGATGAAAAATCATGGCTTAAAGCCCATTGAAATAGCAAATTTTTTTATGAAAGAAAATGTATTTGCCATTAGATCAAAAGGAATGAAAATTGTCAAAAATCATGGGTTGTAACCCATGAAAATCGCGAATATTGAAACTCATACAATTAATTGCAAAATGGTTGAAATGCAAAAAATGGAAGAAACCATGGACAATATAGCCCATGAAAGTCACAAAAAGCATGAACTATATGGCCTACAAAAATTGGCAAAATTTGTGGGTTATATAATCCATGAAAATGATTATGACAAAAGAAAGTTTTATGGTTATTGGGTCAAAACTAACAGAAAAGACTAAAATCATGTGCTATCGGCCATGGAAATTGAAAGTATTGAAAT